ACTGGTTGCCGACAATACTCGCTCTCACTAGAGAAGATTGGAGCTTTGTAAAAGCGTGTCAAAACAGTTTTTGACAATTCTTTCGACTGAAATTGTTAGAGCAGCTGGCAGCAAAAGATAGTAAACAAACCAAACCTGCATATGTGTGCGTTCCATAGAGAAAAAGGCTATAGAAAGAAGGTCGCTGCTTAGGTTGCCGAGAATACGTAAATTCCCCTATAATTATTTTAATGAATAAAAAATACGCAAAAATTTAGCTCTTTTGACCACTGTTAGAGCCCCTAGTTTGCTGATCGATTTTTTTAGTTTCATAATGAATGAGTACAAAAAAACAGTTTTTTTAGAACCTTGTCCAAAGAGCGGTTTCAGCGAGCATTGCTCACTTGAATAAGGGTATCAGTCTCTGACACCATTATGTTACAAACTTGTCCTTGAATGCCAAAGAGATCTTCCAGCCCGCATGTTTTTTTTTAAATTTGCTTTGAAATTTGCCATGCGGTCCCCTAATCGTGTCTTTTCGATACTGCAGACTAGAGGACAAACTTTATTTTCTACTACTAGCTTTTTACTACTGAGTTGAGTCTTCCTTGAGTTCTTCTACCTATATTTTTTTATGAATGCTTTCGTGGATCCTATCAATGTATACCTCCATACTCGAAAAAGGGAAGCAGTGTATCAAACCGTACGAGAAAAGTTTTCCGTGAACTATGTTCTTGATAATTCTGTACCCAGCGAAGCCTAAAAAATTCCATATCAACAAGAGCTAAGATAAGAGAAGGCGTAATGTTCAAGTTTTGGCATGGAGAAGTAGAAAATTAAAACATTATCTGATTATTTTTTGCCAACGTAAACGCTATATGGGATGGGTATGCTATCGTTTATAATGGTAAGCGCTTTGATCCTGTATAATTTCGCAGTTTATGAATTTCAATCCAAACGAATCCTTCCAACACCAACAGACGTCTGCTTGATTCTCACCATCTAGAAATGGAACACATGCTTCAAAGTCAAGATGTTGATAAAGGTCCTAAAGGGTTGTGTATGTCTGTAGAAAGACGCTCCAGCATCATCATCATCATCATCATCGCCATATTTATGTGTGTGGAAACGGCAACGAGATGCTGTACCTTCATTATACGGATTCCTGGAAGAATGGTATCGTTGTGCGAGAACTTTTTGGATTAAATGTTTATCATACCATAGAAAATTCGCTAAACCGCTCAACCGCTCAATTTGTTTAAGACCGTGTTTTAGAGGCAACAAATCCGGGGTGGATTCAAAACGGATTGTAGCAAACCAAGTATCAAGTTGCCATGGCCTGCTGAGCTATTAATCGTTTCCTCGGAAAGCTAATTTTAAAAATTAATACACAATTTGTTTAGCGTTCGTTGGAGCAATGAATAATGCTCATTGATGTGTTCGCAGTTATTCGGTCCATGACAGGCATGCCAATAATGTAAGCAGAAACGAGATCTATTTGGTTTCATTTTGCGAACATCAAATGCAACATGCCAGAGAAGAAGAAGGTACCTCTATCCATGTCTGTTGGGTACTGACTCAATCAAAACACTCAAACGGCAAAGTAGTACCGTTTTAGAATCTTTCATTACGGGCGATTGAATCTGGCACACGATTGATTGATTAAACTTTTACGATTTCCTGACGATACATCCCCTAACCACGGTGCAAATAAGCAATTAAATTTAACGATTTGTATACACGGCGGAAATGTTATTCCTAGCACCTACCCGGTCGGATCGTTTGTGTTTTCAATTTCGACTGATGGAGTCGTTACTACCGGATGGTTAGAGATTTCTCTGAGCATACATACATATGGAGTTTTGGGAGCTACATTAAGAATCGAAGGAAATTCAAAATACATTAAAATTTATCTAGAATAAATCATGAAAGAGTATGTCCGTCCTATTTATATGACGGAAAGCCTATAAAACTGCCAACGACAGTTCAGAAGTCATGGCTTATCCATAGTTTGGAATTTAGTATTTTAAACCGATCGTTATGATGATTTAAATACAGAAGTTTGTGCAGAATTTTGAAAGGTTAATATCCTTTAACTAAAATTGTTTTCAGCTAGTGAAGTTAAAGCATAATGATCGTTGTATATTGAAACTCTAGAAAAGTAACGTCCCAGCAAAGCAATCATTATGAACTATAACTATCCATCTAGAATATCCAATACAAAGGTCTCCCACCAAGAGCTCTAGCATTTTCAATTAACTTTCCTTTCGTTCGCCCACTCCATTTTCCACCAACCAATGTATAAAACAAAACTAAAAATAATAACACTATTGTTTTTTCCGCTGTTGTATTATACTTTACTTCTGCTAGCGGGCTAACCTGTGTAGCAATGAGCTTTAAAATACATTTAAAGAATGTGGATGGGTTGAGCTGACCCAAAGCTACGACAGGCTGCCGTTGGTATGGAATCTTCATGAAAAACAAATTTTCATCTGAAGAGATATTAGTTTGACAGAAATTGTAGTAGATATTGAGTTGTTTCAAACACGAGATTTTTGGCGGTCAATACGAAATGGTTTTTTTTTTCATCAAACATATTCGCAGCACGCAAGTGAAACGTAATTTTGAAGGCGGAGTTCCACGGAATCAAACGAAATGGTCAAGTAAAAGAAAATCGGAAATTAGGTAATGCAAAAAATTTGATACAAACCTACACTCAAAAAATATTGAAAGCTTAATAGTATAAAAGTTACGCTAAATCGCAACTCTCCGTGCTGACGCAAAGGTCGGTATAAAATGAGAGAATGCAGACTTAGTATAAAAATGATTTATGCCTGCCAAATTTACAGAATTTGAGCATATTTGGGTAAAATCACACATAGCCGGTGAAACGGACGTGTTCGCCTCAGTGTATTTTCCACCAGACCATGCTCATAAAAGCACTTATGAAGCCTTCTTCCAAAGTGCTGAACAAATTCTATCTGAGCTTCCTCGTGAGGTTAAAGTTCACATCTATGGAGACTTTAATCAACGCCAAGCTGACTTCATTCTGGACTCTGAAAATGAATGTATCTTACTCCCAGTCGTTGGGGATAATGAAACATTGCAGTTCATTTTTGACAGAACTGCTAATTTAGGACTGAACCAAATTAACCACATAAAAAACCAACACAATTGCTATTTGAACTTTTTACTAACGAATATTTATGAAGATTTCTGTGTGACCGAATCTTTAAATCCACTGTGGCAAAATGAAACGTTTCACACAGCAATTGAACATTCTTTATTTGTGCATGAAAACCAAAGATCCAACGACTGCGAATACGAAGAAGTCTTTGAATTCAAATTAGCAGAATATGAAAAAATAAAATTTAAATAAAACAGTGTCAATTGGCAATTAATTTTAAGGAATGTAGGAAATGTCGAAATTGGTATAGACGTGTTCTACAAAATTTTAACAGAAATAATTTCGGAATAAATTCCTTTGAAGAAAAAAAGACGCAACAGAAACACACAAAATCCAGTCTGGTTTAACAGGCAAATAAAAAACTTGAAAAATCGGAAGCAAAAAGCACATAAAATTTATAAAAAAAAATACAATAGCAGTAATAATTTATTAATTTATTTGGATATATGCGATCAACTGAATGTAGCTATCAGTACTGCATTTGAAGAATATAATGTAAAAACAGAACATGAAATAAAGTCCTGTCCAAAGAACTTCTGTAATTACGTAAAAACCAAATTAAAATCTGACAATTTTCCTTCAATAATGCATCTCGATGAAAATGTCGATGAAAGCTCGGAAAAAACTGCAATCTATTTGCAATTTTTTTCAAGAAATCTATACGACATTTTCTGAAAAAGATCGCGACCGCGATTATTTTGCATTTTTTTACAGAATTTTCAAGGGACATTGGCCTCAATCAACTTTAAGTGCAGGATATTTTGCAGGCTTTAAAAAATTTAGATGCCTCAAAAGGTCCTGGACCTGACGGAATTCCTGCAGTATTTATTAAATGTCTAGCAATGGAACTTACTGATCCATTGTTCTGGATTTTTAATATGTCCCTGGAATCTGGAACCTTCTCAAAAAATTGGAAAAGCTCATTTCTAGTACCTATCTTTAAATCTGGTCGAAAATCTGACGTACTTAATTATCGTGGTATAGCCATTATCTCTTGCATTCCTAAGCTTTTCGAGTCAATTATCAACGAAAAATTATTTCTCCAAATCAAAAATAGAATTACTTACATGCAACACGGCTTTTTCAAGGGTCGCTCGACCTCGACAAATTTACATGAATTATAGACTATTCATTGAATGCAAAGGATAATAGAAACCACGTAGAAGCTCTATATACAGACTTTAGCAAGGCATTTGACCGCATAGACATACCAATGCTACTTTTTAAATTGCAAAAAAATGGAATTGAGTCAGGGCTCCTAAAATGGCTTGAATCATATTTAACTAACCGCCGGAAAGAAGTGGAGTCCAATTCAAGTCACTTCAGGCGTCCCGAAAGCTCTCATTTGAGACCTCTTCTTTTTATTCTATACGTAAACGACATTTCTTTCATTCTCAGAAAACTTAAATTGCTTATTTATGCCGACAACATGAAGCTCTTTTTGGAAATAAGAAATGAAGAAGACATCAATATATTCCGGAATGAAATACACATATTCTACAAATGCAACTTAATATCATTCAGCAGGAAAAGAACAACTTCAAATATTTCAATTGCACTAGGAAATCAAAATGTAGAAATTTTTTTACAGAGTTAGGGATTTAGGATTTATCTTAGACCCTAAACTAACTTTCATAGACCATTACAACACAATTATTCACAGGGCAAATAACATGCTAGGCTTTAAAACACTATATATTGCCTATGTGAGGTCAACACTGGAATATTGCAGCATTGTATGGTCTCCTTTTTCAATCACAAAGAAAGATTAGAATCCGTACAAAAACAATTTCTATTATACGCTTTTCGTAAATTAGGTTGGACACCAAATTACGAGCACTTGGATCTGTCCGGGCTTGCTGCAACACTGACGAAGAGCGCTGGTCATGTCGACGAAAATCTTCAACAGCTCATCTGCAGCGAAGAGATCGGGATTGACGTTTTGTGCTGGTGGTTGTCTCCAGTATCCAGGAGGGATGGGGAGCTTTCTCCAGCTGAAGCACCAGCCGTTTCTTGACGAGGGCCGGATTGCACCCGCAGATTTGCTTGACTGTGTTGCGCAGCACGAAGAGGTGGGAAGTCCTCCATTATGAATGCCGGCGTATTGTCCTTATTTCGTCCTGGTTGGTTTCTTGTAAACGCCTGCTTTCGGATCCGCTTAAAATCTTCGCGTTTGGTGCACTGTTTGTCGGACCCTTGATGAGCGCCACCACAGTTGTCGCATTTGGCCAAGAAAAAGCAATCCGGATACTTCTTGACGTTCTCGTCCCTCCTTGTCATCCGAAAGACGGCAGTCGGGGCCAACTTGTAGCGGTCCTTGATTTCCGCTTCGATTAACTTCGGGTCGAAGCTCGGTAAACCTCGGATGACCACTTTGAAGGGCTTCTCGCCTGGAATATCGTGAGTGAAGAATTCCACCTTGGACTTCTTCGGGGAAGATGTCACCAGGTCGTGTTCCGTTTTCGTGCGGACCATCTCTTTTGTTCAGATTCTACTGAGCTTGAAAACAGCTTTAACGACCATTGACGTGAAGCTAGCGATGAGCGTGTTAAGGGACTGCATTTTCACTACCAACGGTAGTACCCAACAAACAATTTGGACTGACTAAAGGCTGAATAAGCACTTTGACTATATGTTTTTAGTATTACTTCTACGTGAAGTCAACGATTTACATAGTTGAAGATGCTAGTTTCAAATAACAGACTGTAGTGGTAATTTTTATACGATAGATGGAGTAGATGAAAGCATAGAGTTGATAGTTCCGATAGTTGTTCTAGCTCGCTATTCTAATATCTATATGCAATCTTCACACTGCCGTACTCTAACGGAACTATCAACTCTATGCTTTCATCTACTCCATCTATCGTATAAAAATAACCACTACAGTCTGTTATTTGAAACTAGCATCTTCAACTATATAAACTGAATAAGCAATTTTTTAGCTAAAGAAGCATATTTTTGCCTGAATAAGCTCTTATGCTGCTTCGAATGTTTGTTGGATAGTTTGACGTTTGCCGCACTTGGGCTGGCATTTTCGGTTTCATCAGCGATACCGAAATCGCCGATATCGGTGTCGTTTGTCGCGGTAACATCGTCGCGACCAATCGTGCCATCGCACTGGTATCGATGCTTCTTCCTCTTTTTACTGCGCTTTTCCGTCTCAGCTGGCTGGGTATTCCCATCGATGGGAAGAACAGCAAACCTGGTCGCTGTAGGTACACCCGAGCTTAATTCACCGGGGTCCTGGTCCTCCACCGGGCTTCGCGAGCGATGCTTCCCCATTTCGGGGTACGCACACAAAAAACCGCGAAAGAGATGTTGCTGATGATGATGATGATGATGATGATAATGGTCCCACCTCTTACCCCTAGAAAGGTTTGAGCTGGACGATTTATCTTTAAGATAATTAAATATGACATTTTAACCAGGTTGGCAAACAAAATCGAACTGGTTTCAGTTACAGATATAAATTCCCGCTAGAGTTTACAGTTGCTTCACAGCGATATAAATGTTCGCCTCTTTGTCCGCCTAAAATATTCATAAGTATTACAAGCAATCAAGAGTTAATGAACAATCAACAAAGCATCCTATTACACTAGTAACCCCGCAATCTGATGCTATCATAATTTTCAGCAATGTCAGGAATGCTCATGAACCCCCAACATTTGCCAGAAAACTTACTACTAATTCAAGGTATCTTCCAAATAAGCTTCAAAATTGCATTTTTTTTTATCAAATGTTAAATTCAGTCCTCTATATCCGTAATACGCGCGCGAGGCTCAAACCTTTGTAGACTATTTTTTTTTAAATTAATCTACTATTAAACCAAATATTAAAAATCCATCGTCACCCTCGTGGCGAACAGTAATAGTTTTTGCAGTGCTACAATAATTATTAAAAAGTCGTTATGACAGCTATCCATATAAAATAATCCGTTAGAGATAACTTCGTCAAGATACATAATTTGTCATTTCATAAAAAAATCACTGGATAACCGAAATCGCTCCTCGTGTTTGAAGACCGGCCAGGTGGTAAATCTCAGAATTACGAGTTCGCGGTGGACTGTTAAGGATCATTCTTAGGATCTTGTTTTATATCCTCTGAAGCTTTAGGTGGTGGCACATAGCACAACTCTCCCAGATTGGCATACCATACTCAATAGCCGGCAGAATGATCTGCTTGTGGACAGCAAGCTTGTTTTTGAGGGACAGGGAGGACTTCCTGTTTATCAGAGGGTAGAGCGACCTGAACAAGATGTTACACTTGGTTGATGTCTTGTCCACATGGGATCGGAATAGCAATTTGCTATCCAGGGTGAGACCAAGGTAGATTACTTCACTCGACCATTCAATAGGAGTACTATCAACATGGACCTTGACGTTAGCAGGCGGAACAAGCCGAGGTGAATTCGAGTGTGGAAACAGGAATGGTTTGTGTTCTAGCTGCATTGATACAAATCTTCCAGCTCTTGAAATAGTCGAATAGAACATCCAAGCCTGATTGTAGTTTACTCACCAGAGCACGGATCACTCGACCCTTGTAGATGATGGAGGTGTCATCTGCGAACATTGACAGGATGCCACCACCCGGCAGGGGAGGAACGTCTGACGTGAAAATGTTGAATAGGATAGGCCCAAGCAGGCTACCCTGAGGGACCCCTGCATCAACGTTGAACGTATCAGAGGGGACATTGTTCAAGTAGACCTGGAATGATCTGCCCGACAAGTAGTTTTTGATGATCTTCACGAGGTAGATCGGAAAGTTGTATCGATGCAGCTTGTACACTAGGCCATCATGCCAGACATTGTCGAACGCCTTCTCGACATCCAACAATGCCATGGCAGATGTATTGGAAACGGACTTATTCCGCTTGATGATGTTAGTAACTCGTACGAGTTGGTGGACGGTAGAGTGGCCTTTCCTAAACCCGAATTGCTCTTTTTTTTTCTTTTTTTTTCCATGATTTTTCTCCGTCGATCTTGTTTTCCGTGCTGAGCACCAATGCTACCGACGCCAGGAAGGCAGCTCCCACAACTGGACCCTACCTATCAACCCATCAACTCATGAACCGGGGAACAACTTCCCCTCCGAAGGAAGGCGTGATCAGAGATGTTATGCCTCAGAACATCCCGGCGGCGCCGACTGGGATTGAACCCAGGCCTGCTGGGGTGAGAGGCAATCACGCTTACCACTACACCACCGGCGCCGCTATCCGAACTGCTCTTTGAGAAAGATGTTATTATCATTTGAAAACACCAGCAGACGGCTGAGTATCAACTTTTCGAATAGCTTCGAGATGGAGGACAAGAGGCTGGTGGGGCGATAGATTTTGGCAGTGGTAGGATCATTGCCCGGCTTGTGTATTGGAATCACTTAGGATAACTTCCAGCATGCGGGGAAGTAGCCAAGCTCCAAACATTTGTTGAAGATAACGGTAAGATGGTTGAAGAAGTCAATACTCAAGATTTTCAACTCGATGTTGACTACACCATCCAAACCCGCGGCCTTCATGTTTTTAGTGCTTCTAATAGCTGCTATCACCTCATCAGTCACATCATGCACTACTACGGGGGTGTCAGCGACTCTAGACATTGCCTCCAGTACGGCAGGCCCATGGGGGCTCACCATGGTTTGGCCAAGATTATGTGAAATCACAAAATATTGGCAAAGAGCATTGGCCTTTTCAACTGGGGTTATGAGTAGGGATGGGTCCAAGTACTGGTCAACTGAGGAAAGTGAAGGGATTGGTCTCGACTTATTTTTCAAAATTTTGGTCATCTTCCAAAATGGTTTTGCACAATCTGGAAGAGAGCGAATCTTGTTGGCAAAATCGTTATTTTTGAGTTCCACCATTCAGGCTTGGATAATTTTGGTTAGCCTATTGACATTGGTCTTCAAGTGGGGCTGTCCAGAACGCTGGAACTGCCTACGAAAGGTGCTACGGAGCCTGATAAGATCTTTGGTTGGGCTGTCAAGGTTCAGAGTATGACTCACCTGTCTGGATCACTAGCGTGCACAGGAATGTTGTTAAGAAGGTGCATTTTTTTTCTATGGTGCATTTAATCTGAGGATTAAATTTAATAACAAAAATTTTCCCGGAATGAGCTAGAAATTATCTTCGGAATTCGCTTGAAATTTTGCTTAAAATCCCTTTGGAATTTCACTCAAAAATTGATTTTCTCGGTATTCTTTTCAAAATTATCTTGGAACTATCTGCAGGATGAACTAGAAATTATCCGCAGAATTTTCTTTGAATTCTCTCCAGAAATATTTAGAACTGTCCTTGAAATTCTTTTCGGAATATTTTAGAACTTTTCCCCAAAGTTTCTGAAAAATTTCCTCTGCATTCTCCAGAAATTCTTCCCAGAATGAGCTTAAAATTACCCTTGAAATTTTCGTCAACATCCCTTTGGAATTTCATTCAAGATTGGATTCTCTCGGTTTTCTTTCTAAAATTATCATGAAACTATCTGCAGGATTCACTAGAAATTATGCGCAGAATTTTCATGAAATCATCTCCAGCAATCTTTTCTTTTGGAACTGTCCTCAGAATTCAATACCCTTGAGGTTCTTCTCAGAAATGTTCAATAAAGCTTGCCCCTCCATTCACAAGAACTGTGCAATTTTTACATAAGGAATTTTCAATTCAAATTGCCCTCCATGCAGCAGATTGTTGCAAATCTTACACCAGAAATTTTCAATACAAACTTGCCCTTAGGTAATTTTAAACCAGAAAATTTCAACTGACCAGAACGATGATAATTTTCCACCGTTAATGTTAAATAAAAATTGCTTTTCCAATCTTCTGCTTGGTGCAGATTTCCTTCTTCCATTTTCACCAGACATTTTTTATATAGCTTACATCTCCTATCATCAGAATGTTGCAGG